TTGTATATTAGGATAATATATTTAATATACAAAGAATAACTAATAGTGTCACAATTACACAGATGTCCTTTATATTAATTAGGTTTAACTTTCACGGTAAATTTCAGGATCCATAATTAATTACAGTCTGCAGAGTTTAGCAGTACTTTCATAAAAAATCAAAGATAGCCTTAAATCTCTCATACATTTAGGAATAGTGTTAATAATCAGAAGTAGACTTAGTCAAAGAAGATAGATATAAGCCAGTTTTTCCAAAGGCAGTGTGGCCCTTTTTTGCCAGATGCAATGTAAAAAAGACGGCACTTATCGGTTAAACCTATATGAACTTTTATTTTACAAACTTTTATAGAACATTTCGATAAGGCTCAGACAAACATATTTAGTTTCAGATGTATACATATCTCTAGTCACAAATATTTAGGTTATTCATGAAAATCAAGCCTGGTCAAGATGTTATGTCATCTGTTTCTCTGACAAGAAAATTCTAAAAGCACTTTAATATCTCACAGCTCTCCAGTCTTGCACAAATTGGTACTTAATGCTGTGAGGTTTTTTAACAGGCAGAATAGGCAGAGTAGGATCTCTGGCAAAGATGACTCTATTTACATTTTAAACACTGTCCAGAAGAGAATGAATGCCTCCTTCTTAAGGGGTTATTCCCCCCCCTAGGGCAAGTTATTTCCTCCTAACACAAATCTGGTTAAGGTAACACTGATCATCCTTCTCACAGTCCCTTTGGCCTAAAAGGCATTCCTTGTGACTAGCAAAGTTCATCTTCCACCCCCGTTAAGATAGGCGAGTTAATCATCAGACAATGAGTCTAATGGGTTCCAAATAAGGTTTTTTCAAATGTACAGACAACCCTGTGAGCGAAAGCCTCCCAGTCCACTCCTTTGTCCCAATGTAGCAGGAAAATGGAAACTGGGGTGGACCCAAATGGAGGTTCCAGAAAAACTCAGACTTAAGGACTAAACGCACACAGCCAAATAGAAAGTCACGGGCCAAGCCAACAACCTTAGTACCTTCCCAGCGTGTATACAGAATAGATTCCAACAATTAGCTCCAAGACTTTTTTTTAACATTTTTTTTTAGTTGTTGATGGACCTTTATTTTATTTATTCATATGTGGTGCTGAGAATCGAACCCAGTGCCTCACACATACGAGGCAAGTGCTCTACCCCTGAGTTACAGCCCCAGCCCTAGCCCCAATACTTTTTTTAATGTCTATTCAGCATGGACTCTGATCAATGTCTTTATCCAGAAGCCTTAAGTCCCCAGACTAGGACGCTCAGGGGAAAACACTGATAATGCCAGTTACCTCCCCGCTGTGTTGAAGTAGGCCATTAGGGTAGCACACCAAGGCAAGCATATAAAGCAGGGTTTATTTAAAAGGGGTAACACAGACTTCTCCTGGGAGGGAGAAGGGGGCCATGGCTGGTATCCTGAGGTGAGGGGTTTACCTTTTTTATATGTCCTAGGCTTCTTTTGTTCTTCCACTCTCTCCCCCTTCTCTCTCTCCTTCCTGCATAGTGACTAGGCCCAGCAAATGCTCGGTGGGATGGCCAAAAGGTGATGAACAGCTGGGCTAAAGGGGCAGGGGAGGAGTGATAGGGCAGGAAGGGGGTGAAATTAACAACTCCCTGTAGGGAGTGACAATCCCTGGGACAGTTTACCTTAGCAACAGGTTGGAGCAGGGTCAAGTTATCTTTGTTTTGTTTTGTTTTGGTACCAGGGATTGAACTCAGGGGCACTCAACCACTGAGCCACATCCCCAGCCCTATTTTGTATTTAGAGACAGGGTCTCACTGAGTTGCTTAGCACCTTTCCATTGTTGGGGCTGGCTTTGAACTTGAGATCCACCCGACTCAGCCTCCAGAGCCACTGAGATTACAGGCCTGTGCCACCTACCCCGAAGTTTATCTTGATAGGGTGGAGGAAGGGCTCTGAAAGCATTTCAGTCTCTCAGGGGGCAGTCTCCAACTTCCCAGAGTCACTCAAAGTGGCCTCCTAGATCCAACCTGACTTGATTTACCAGGCTTCAGCATCTGAGGGGAGTTCCATCTTTTTTCCTCTCATTCAAGGCTAATTTTATTTCTTTTATTTTTGTCCTCTGCCATCATCCATAGATTACATTCTTTGAATCCATAAGACAAGAAGAACCCAGAAAGAAAATCAATGAGGCCTAGAGCCATATAGATTTCTTTTTTCTCAAACTCCAGTTTTATTCCCATGCGCAAAGGGTGGCTGGAAAGCGGAGTAGAGGCCAGGTCCTCTTTGCCCATTTCACTATAGACCAGGCAGCTTTCCTGAGATTTCCTCCCCCCCTCATCCCAGGACTGGTGTCCCTGACCCACAGCAGGATGATTTGCAGCTGCTTGGAGCCAGGCTGAGAACAGCACTCAGACTGTAAGCAATGGGTTGAAAGTGTTAGATATGGAAAACGAAAAAAAAAAAAAGGATAGTGTGGCCTTGGGAGAGGGAGTGAAAAAGAAAGCCATACATTGATAGCTTTTATGTCTTTTAAGATAGATCCTTTTCAGATGCTGGCCACAGGTGGGGTGATAGTGTTCCATCATCAAACCTAGAACGAGAGTCTCTGGGAAGCTTTGATCTCTATCCAGGTGCTGGCCACGGACCCCCAACCACAAACCCAAACTCCTGAGTGCCAAACTGACACGCCCACTAAACCACCTCTCAGTATAACCTGTATAAGCCCAAACTCCACCTCTGGCCAGTGGCTCACTGTTCACCAGGAAAGCGGGCCCATCAGAGGTGAGTCACCCAGTTCCTGCATGAAACTTTGCTCCTGAATAAAAAGCTGAGATGATCCGTGAAGTTTGAGTCTGGCCCGGTCCTTTTGTGCTAACAGAAAAGATTTTTTTGAATTTTATTTTTAAATCCTCTTTTCATGTCCTCCTATGCTCACACATTAGAAGCAGCACCTTTTCGGATCCAACTTAGTTTCTGACTGTTTGGACTCCTTACTGCATAATTGCATATATGCCTGCACATACAGAATCTTTCACTTGTTTTATCTCTGACAGACCAACTCTCAACTGCAGGATTGTGCAATAATTCAGAAAATTATTCAAAGACCAGATTGTTACAGTAAAACATCAGCTTTTTCTTAGATAGGTTTACCACTATAGGTAGCCCATTCAGCCAAGATCTTCCCCCCCCAAAAAAAAAAAAAAAACAATCTATAGGATCAACACAGTATTGCTCATGTCTAAAGGGCCAGAAACAACAAAAACACAGAGACAGACAAACAGAGAGGATCCCCAACCCATGGCTAACAGATGGGAACGTTTAAAATAGAACAGATAGGGGAAAATCCAACAAGTTCCCAACTCCCACTCAACCACCACAGATATCCCCACCAAGAGAGACCAGATGTTCCCACAAGGGGGAACCAGATGTGTAGAATCAGGGTCTTGGTGTGTACACCATAGGGTCTCACCAAACTGCCAAAATGTCCCAACTTTTTTTTTTATGGACACAATATCTTTATTTTATAAATTTATTTTTTATTGGTGCTGAGGATCAAACCCAGTGCCTCACATAAGTGAGGCAAGTGCTGTAGCACTGAGCCCCAGCCCCAGCCCCAGCCCCAGTGCTTTTCCTGCATAGTTTCCTTTTTTCTTAAAGCAGAGCAAGATGGAGCAATCCATGCAGTTCAGGGAAGGAAGGTGGGAATGCACCAAGCAAAAGGAGCAGCTGCTGGGACAACCCCTCAGTCCCTCCCTTGACTCACAGGAATAGCTCCTCTGGTTCAACCCCAGGCACACTCGCCTGGCCCCTGTCCTGACTTGTCGTCAGCTCTCAAAAAGTTCGCCTTCCGTCCTCAGCATGGAAGTGTGGTTGCTTGGAGTGCCAGGCCTGCCCGAGAAAGCCAGAGTGAGGGCTGTTCTAGAGTCCCGCCTGGGGTACAAATTTTGTTACCGAAATTTTGGTCCTTGTCGTTGATGCCAATTCATGCCAATTTAATACTGAGGACATGGTTTTGAGAAAAAGGGAAAAAAAAAGGTTTATTGCTTTGATGACAAAAGAGAAACACAGGGGACTTCTGTCCCAGAGGCTGTGATTCCGCCCATCAGGAGGAACAGAGGGATTTTAAAGAAACTTCAAGGGTTGCTTTCCAGGTGCGCTCTGGTAGGGGATCTTGGATCCTCAGGCAGATAGCTGCGTCCTGTGGTGGGTTTGTTCAAGGGGAAGAAAAGAGAACCTGTCTCCCTAATCTTGTTAGGGAGGGGGAGAGGGGGGTAAAGAGAGAGACAGAGAAAAAAACACTTGTCCTTTTACTATCTATAGGTGGCCACTGGCCAGCGTCCTCCGTGCCACCCCTCGTCCGCGCACCCGACCTTCGGAGGGACCGGGTCTGTCGCAGGGTGGAGGACTGACTGCTGGGATTACAGGGACCGCTGTAATCCGACGGCCAGGAGGTCGGCAGCTAAACTGCGAGCGCCGGCGGGCCAGGCGCGGGGGACGGTCCCGGCCGCCTCCGGGCTTCCGAGGGGCCCCGGCCCCGCTAGGCGGCGGGTCTCAGGGAGCGGGTCTCCAGGGGTGGCCCCGGCCCCCGCTAGGCGGTGGGTCTCGGGGAGCGGGGCGGGAGGCGGCACGGGGAACGGCGCGGAGAGCAGCGCTGATGGCTGCCCGGTCCCCTCTGGGCGCCGGGTCTCGGGGGGCGGGGCTGGGGCGGGGGCTGGGGCGGGGCTGGGGACGGTGGGCCTCGGGGGCGGGGCTGGGGGCGGTGGGCCTCGGGGGCGGGGCGGGGGGCGGTGCTGAGGGGGGTGGGGCTCCGGGGGCGGCGCTGAGGGCGGCCCGGTCCCTGCCAGGCGCCAGGTCTCGGGTGGCGGAGCAGGGCGGGCCTCGGGGGGTCTCGGGGGGCGGGGCGAGGGCCTCGGTGGGCGGGGAGGCCCCGCCCTTCCGCCCCCGCCGGGGAGACCCGGGATCCGGCGGGGGAGCGCGCCGTCCTCGTCTGCAGCCCGCGGCAGCTCGGAGCCATGCTGAGGAGCTGCGCCGCGCTCCTGCGCACACCTGGGGCCCGGCGCGGCTGGCCGGGAGCCCCGCGGGTGAGTCGGCCCGGGCCGGTCCGGGCAGGGCAGGGCAGCGCTGCCAGCCCACTCCGCGCCGGCGCCGAGGCGGCAGCAGCGGGGACGCGGCCTCGGGACACTCACGGCCTGAGGTTCCCACCATTAAGAAAGCGGAGGGAGGGTGACTCGCTTTTGACGCGGCGCGCGGTGGGCTCGGCTCTGGTACCGACCTAGGAAGGTGGCGCGAGGGGACAGGGGCACGCGGGAGAGCTGGCCTCGGAGAGCGGCTGGCGCGCCGGCGCCCCGACCTGGACCTGCCGAGCTCGGGGAGGCTACGCGGGCGCGGCGTCGGGCTGAGGTCACCCTCCCGGTCGGAGCCTCCGAATGGTCTCCGCGCCCTGGAAGGCCGTTGGGTGATTACGTGAGGTTCTGCCGGGACTCGGTGCCCGAACCTGGTGTCCGAGCTGTGTTCACGTTGGTCTGGCCTGGCCGGTGCGCTCAGTTGCAATCTGTCCGGCTCCAACGACGCGCCAGGCGCTGTGGGCCCTTGACGGTATCTTCAGATAACCAAGAAAAGGTCCTTTCTCTTAAGGAGCTTGAGCCTAGTTTGGGAGAATGGGGTCAGATTGCAAAGTTAAAAAATCTGCGTATGGCATCTTCATGAAGTTGTTGAGCTTTCTGCTAAAGAATAATGCATGCACATTGGTCGTTAGTCGTGAACTCTCTTGCCCATTGGAAAAGAAAATGTGCTCATCTTACAACAAAGATGAATTGATTCCCTTAATTATGTGTGAGTGCCTTATGATCTGTGTTGGGAATATTTAAGTATTAGTATTTACAGGCTTTATAAGTCGTGATTCTTCCTACTCAGTAACTTAAAAGGTCATTAAAAATAGATCTTCTTCTGAGTAACACTTTTATAAATGTGGAACCAAAGATCAAGTAGTCTTTCCTCTACTTAGTACAACAGAAGATAATGATTATCCCTGGCATTTATCCCCCCAAGTGTATTTACATACAAGTGTATTTACATACAGTGTATTTACAAGTGTATTTACATACACCTCTTAAACTGACACTTAACATTTTTATTTCCCACAACATTATAGTGTCCATCAAGGGTAACAAACTCAACTGGATTTGGATTGGAAATAATCCAAAAGAGAAAAGACTATATTCATAATGTTCTCTTGAACATTTTCATTTAGAACAGTAAAAGATTGGAAACAATTTAAATGTTCAACTTAAATCGTTGAATTTATAGTAGTACATCAATTTAAAGTACTAAAAGCAATTATAGTACATCAGTTTAAAGGACTATTTCTCTACTGTTAAAAATGTTGATATGTAGCTGGACACAATGGCATACACCTGTAATCCCAGTGGCTCAGGAGGCTGAGGCAGGAGGATTACTAGTTCAAAGTCAGCCTCAGCAATAGCAAGGTGCTTAGCAACTCAGTGAGATCCTGTCTGTAAATAAAATATAAAATAGGGTTGGGGATGTGGCTTAGTGGTCAAGCGCCCCTGAGTTCAATCCCCTATACCACCCAAAAAAATGTTTTTCTAAGATTAAGAACATGAGAAAGTGAATACTAAATAATTTAAAGCAATAAAAACAACAAAATTATATTTCTTACTGAGATTAAAGCATATTAAGAAAAAATACATTTTGGAGGACGCCCAGAAAGACAAATACCTCACTCATATGTGGAAGTCAATTTTATAGAAGTAGAAGGTAGAATAGAGGGTCACTAAAGACTACAACAAGGAGGAGAAATACAAGCTGGATAACCAGTACCAAAATACAATTGGGTAGAAGGAATAAGTACTACTGCTTTACGGCACAGTTGGAAGCCTACTTTAGGCTTTAAAGTAAAGTGGGGTGGTAATTAGTGCCTACTTCATACAGTTGTGATAAGTCCCTCCTGGCGTTTTCACACAGTGTTCCTTTGCCTTCAGTACTCTTTCCAGCTGACTCATTTCTGTTTGACTAATCAATATTCAAGTTAGAGACCCAACCTGAGACAAAGACCATTCCCTTGTGCTTCAGTTTCCTGTGCATACCACACTGGTATACTCCCCCCATCTCCACCCACGTACTGATATACTTTTTATGTGGAAGACAATGTCTGTCCTTCATTTCTGTCACCAGTGCCTGGCTCATCTGGGCTTAATGCTGGCTTTGCCAGTAGCTCGCTGGATGATGTTAGGGAAATTCTTTATCTTCTCAATCTCCTGTTTTCTTTCAAGGCGGTTAGACCAAGTGATATCTGGAACATCCCTTCCATTTTGAAATGACAATCCTCTGGAGGAAGAAAAGCACTAAGATGGTCTTAGAAAGTTGGAGCATAGCTGGGCACAGTGGCGCACACCTGTCATCCCAGTGACTCAGGAGACTGAGGCAGGAGGATTGTGAGTTCAAAGACAGCCTCAGCACTTAGCAAGGCCCTGTTTCTAAATAAAAAAAAGGGCTGGGGATATGGCTCAGTGGTCAAGTGCTCCTGGGTTCAATCCCTTGTACAAAAAAGAAAGCTTGAGAATAGGCCCAGTTCAGTGTCACACACCTATAATCCCAGCAATTCAGGAGGTTGAAGCAGGAAATTCACAAATTCAAGGCTAGGCTGGGCAACTTTGGGAGACCCTGTCTCAAAATAAAAAAATAAAAAAAAAACACCCTTGGGTTCAATCCCAAGTACCAAAAACAAAAAACAAAAAAGTGAAAGAATGTGTTATGAAATAGGATGCACCTTCCATTAATCTTCTTTTTCTTCTGTGTTTTAGAGGTCATTTTCTTCTGAGAAAGTCGTTCAGAAGGACTGTGCTCTCCCTAACCCCAGCTGGAGCAAGGACCTAAGACTCCTCTTTGACCAGTTCATGAAGAAATGTGAAGATGGCTCCTGGAAACGTTTGCCTTCATACAAACAAATTTTTTGTAAAAATTTTCAAGAATTCCAAACCCTTTATCTCGGTAGGAGCGACCACTTTCCTATTAATAATATTGGAATATCAAGTATAAAACTAAGAACAGTTATTACTTGAAAAGAGGAGTATAGTCCAGGGGGTTCTGTACACGTGTTTTATAGGCCAGAAATCCCAACAGTTATTTTGCAGACTATAGGAGAATCTAAAGCCAATTGTTAAGAATGAGATTATCTCAATCCTGGCATCCTCAGCAGCAGGAATGAAAGGCCACCCACACACTCATCAGCCCTCTGTCTTGGGGCTGTCATTACTGGTCTCAGTTTGCCCTTTATCCTGGTATCTGGCTTCATCACCCTCAGGAGTTCAGAATACTTGGGTAACCCCTTTATCTCCCAGATTCTAAACCCCAAAAGCAACCCACCCTATACCAACACACACACACACACACACACACTGTACTTCCTATCATTCTGTTTGATTTTTTAATATACATTTTAAGCAATTTTAGGTTTATTAAAAAAATGAGCAGAAAGTATACTGTTCCCATATATCCCTTACCTGCTTCTCACCCAATTTCCCCTATTACTAACATCTTACATTATTGTGGTAAACTTATTATAATTCATGAACTAATGTTAATACATTACTATTAACCAAAGTCTATAGTTTATATTAGGGTTCACTCTTTGTGTAGTATTTGCTATAAGTTTTGGCAAATACATAATGACATATATGTGTCATTATAATGTCATACTGAATTGTTTCTCTGCCCTAAAAATCCCATTCTCTACCTGTTCATGTCTCCCTTCTAAACTGGCAACCACAGATCACTGAATTTTGTCTTTTCCAGCATGTCATATAGTTGGAATCATTCAGAGCCTTTTCAGATTGTCTTCTTTCACTTAGTTATATGTGTATAGAGTATATTTATTCTTTCCATTGCACACCATCTGACATGCTTAGTGTGTTATTAATGGTTTGTATCTCAACATGAGAGCATAAATTTCACAGGAGCAGAGATTTTTGTATGTTTTATTCCCTACTGTATCTCCAGTGAGAAGAATACCTGGTACATAGTAAGTGTTCATAAATATTTGTAGGAAAAAGAAAGGAGGGGTTGTGGCTCAGTGGTAGAGTGCTTGCCTCGCATGTGTAAGGCACTGGGTTCAATTCTCAACACCACATAAAAATAAAGAAAGAAACAAAAGGTACTGTGTCCATCTACAACTAAAAAATATATATATTTTTTTTTTAAAAAAAGAAGGAAATATTCCAGGGAATGTATTCAAGTATTCTACTTGATTTTTATCTCTCCCTTCCCTTTTTAGGCTCTGAAATGTGGTGCCAGATCCCTTGTTTAGGAATTAGAATACTGAACCTCTTTGCTTCATACCTCCTTTCTTGGGTCTGGTAGGAGTAAAACCACAGTCAGGACAGCTATTGTGATTTGAAAGGGACATATGAAAAACTTCTCTTCGTGAGTCTGCTTGGCATATAGGTTTTACAATCACCGAAGATTTAAACTGCTATTGTATTTCTGATACCTGACTTGATCTGAATCCCCTGGACCTTTAGTTGATGCAGAGCCTGAGAATCTATGTTTAACAAACTTGCAGATAATGTTGATTCATTTGACTCAGAACTTGAGAACCAGCTGATTACTGATTATAGCACAGAATGTGGATTCATTGTCTCACAAATTCAAATAATGAAATCCATAGATACAAGGGTAAGAGCAAAGTAACTGAAGTTCTTAGAGTAAGAAAGCAGAGGAGGGATCCATAGAGAGGGATGCTAGAAAGTGGCTACTGTCTAGGGTTTATATAGATGTACAGGGTGAAGGGAGCTAGCCCCTTACCCAATCCTGGGAAAGGCATTCATTGAGTTCTTCATGTGCCCTGTGATCCAAGCAGGTTACCATGCCTTTTTTGTAGATGTCTCACTATCATTCGTCCCCACCACAACTTACATTGGAGTTGGCCTGACCATGATGAGGCCTGGCTTGTGTCTATAGTTTCTCTGCCCTGCTACACAGAGACCTGACCTCAAAGGATCCCAGGTTCCCTGCTTGTTCATTTAACCCCTTCTCCTGCCTCATGATGATGTTAACAACTGACTAGAAACAGAAAGTTTTTTAAACTGGTTTTATCTTCACACCTGAGAAGCTAGTCTTATTGAACTCATCTTTGATTTTTATCTCTGTTTAAATGGACATAATAATGCTAACTTTTACCATTTTAGAAGATGCTATAGTGCCTAATTAGAATCTTAAATTAGGCTTTTGCACTTAAAAACAAAACCTTGCAGCACCTCCCCTTATGAGAAAGGAAACTGTTTACCTTTCAGACAAATATTAAAAAATTAGTAATTTGCCCTCCCACAAGGGATATTCATTTTTAAATGGTTAGTGATTTTCATAAAATTCTCAAAGGAGTTCATTACCCAAAAATGTTAGGAACCACTGGTTTCAAGAGTTTTATAAGTGTGAGTAGTTATTGAAACAGACTGATTAGATAAATCAGGATAAATAAACAGCATCTAAGAGTTGGAACCTCGAAAATCATCCACTTAGTCTGGGGCACCAACTTAACAGGGGCTGTTAGAATACTTCTTCCTCTTCCCTCTTGAGAGTCACTAGCCTTCTTTTACAAATATCAATTGAGTATTGACTGTGGCAAGCACTGTGCTGGGCACAGGGATATGTCAATGAAGAAAACAGGAGGTGTCCACCCTCATGGAGCTCAGTGTTTGGCCCTCTCCTTATCAAGCCACTGCTACTGAAGGGAAGAAAGACAGTAGGCTCCCTCAGTTGAAAGAAAAGTTGGAAACTACTTTTTTTTTTTTCCTGTCTTTTCTTGCTTTCTGCACCCTCACAACCAGTCATCTGGATTTAACTTGAATCCCTGCCGTCATGGGGTACTTGGAACAAAGGGCTTCTTCCATTTTGGACAACAGTATGAATCAGTGAGTTCTAGTCTCTCCTGTAACTTTGATTCCTCCATTGAGTTCTGCCATCTACGAGGACACAGTATGAGAATTCCTTCACTTGCATCCTTTGGTGTGTAGGACTTAGATACTTCATCCTACTCCGGTTCACCTGCCAGTCCAGTCTTTGTTGTTTTCAGGCGTTTCTCCCAGAAGGTATTTCTCTCTGCTCATATTCCTGGCTGCTTTACCTAGGACATATTGCAGTCTGTCAGAATCCTTAGTGTTTGCTTAGAATAAGAGCCATGTCGCACAGTTCATTTACCATCAGACAGCACCCCGTGTCTTTCATGTGAGCTGTTTGTTCCCTTCTGCCTTACTGAATCCAATTGAAGAACGTTATATATAAATATATACCTAATACATTATTATTATTCCTCTTCATCCTCCTCTTCCTCCCCTTCCTCCCCTTCTGCCTCTCACTCCTTTTCCTCCTCCTCCTTTCGGGATTGAACCCAGGGGTACTTTACCTTTGAGCTACATCCCTTCCTATATTTTATTTTGAGGCAGGGTCCAACTAAGTTGCTGAGGCTGGCCTCAAACTTTTTATCCACCTTCCTCAGTTGGGATTACAGGCATGTGCCACTGTACCCAGCTACATTCTTCATTTGAAAACCATTGTGAAGACGTTTTTGGTTTCTTATTTGCAATTCACAGCATTTGTTCACTCACCTAATAATTGTTGAGCAACTCAGGAGACTGAGGCAGGAGGGTCCCTGCTCTCTTGGAGCTTTAACAGATATTTCTGAATGACCTTGTATCATTTGATAATCTAAACAGATCTTTCGGTAGTAGTTTGGGGATTGTGATTTTTTTTTTAATGACTTAATGTTTTTTTAATGAGCTTAATGTTGCCTAATGACCATATGTGCAAATCTAGTCTGTTCACTCTCCTGGCTCTCCTACCTTACTATTTTCTACCGTTTTCTTTCTTCTCATGCCTCTGATTTTTTCTTTCCCATTCTCACTGTCGGCTGATCTTACTTCCTGTTTCGCTAAGAGAAAATAAAAGCCATCAGAAGAGAATCTCCAAGCTCTCGCTGCCTCCTTCCTCCTCCCCCCTGCCCTGGTCCCAGTTCTCTGCTTCTCTCTGCGTGCATGAACTGTCTGTGCTCCTCGGGGGCCATTGCTGCACTGCATCACCTCCCCTTTGGCCTGTGGAGGACATCTCTCTCTGCTAGATCTTTCTCAGCATGAGACACACCACAATTGCATTTCTCTTCCTGGTATCTCTGGAACCCACTCCATTCAGACCCTCACCCCCATCACTCCATCAAACTGCTCTGTCAAGGACACGAGTGATATTCCTGCTGCTAAATCCAGTGACCTCTCTCTGCTTTTAGCACTCCTTGTGTCTCCTTCCTCCTTGAACTCGGCTTCCAGGTCACCTCATTCTCCCACTGCACTCACCCTCTTTTTTAGTGTTTTGTGTTAGTTTCTCCCCCTTCCCCATCCTCAAACTTTGAATGTTTAGTTACCCCCATGTCTCAGTGCTTAGTACCCCCTTCTCTGCTCTCTGATAATCTCATTGTCTCGTGGCTTTACAAGCCATCCAAAATCTGACAGTTTCCTAATTCAGTGACTGAAATTTAGTCCCACAAATTTCTGGGTTGAAATTCTGGTTCCACAATTTAAAGCTATGTGATCTTGGGCAAGGTACTTTACCTTTTGGTGCTTGCATAGATATTTCAGTGTTTGGCGAAAGAATAAATGAAACAAAAGTAAAACTACTTCAACCAAGAAAGAAACTTAAACTTCCTTTTAGATTCTGCGATACAGAGATAAGAATTATTCTTTTTTATGAATGAAGGTAAATTTTAGCTATTTTTAGGGCTGTGCAGTGGTAGTATGCTGGCCTAGCATGCTGAAGGTATTTGGTTCAGTCTGTAGCACTAAAAAGTTTTTCTTAATTAAAATTAAAAATTTTTCAAATAAGTTAAATTGTAGTTGATTTGTATTACTGATTCCATTCTGGGTATCACTACATCACACAATTAGTTGACTGTCCTAGTGCCTTCTGGCTCCTACCTGATGAACTCCACCAAAATGCCTTCACAAAAACCCCTGCTGACTGAGTCCCAAATTCAGTAGGCATTGTCGGTTTCATGGTGTCCTCTAAGCTCTCCTGCCCAGACTCCTGCCTGCTCAAAGCCCCTCCCGCCCCCCTGTGGTCAGAGTGGTTCAGAGTGCATAGCTGATCCTGGTAGTCCTCTGCTGCCTTCAGTGCCACCCGCTCTCAGATTCCAACACAGATAGGAAACACCTGGAAACCTTGTTAAAGCAGGTTCCACTTCAGAAGGTCAGAATCTGATTCTGTGTTTCTGACAACTTGTTCTACCATTCTTATTTTTCTCATTTATCCATAAACTATGGAGAAAAAGGGATAGTTCTAGGCCAGAGCTAGCCCAAGAATGTTAATTTTCCCAATTCCTAGGCCAAGATTCTTTCTGTTGTGCCATAATACTGATCCTTAATTTTAAGTTTCTGTGTCTGGTCCTCTGAGTACATGTAGTGTGTGCCAATACGTATCTGTGCCAATTGATGGGCATACAAAGTCAAAAGTACAGGGTGACCGTCCAGCAGATGACCTAAGAAAACGGCATCTTCCCCTGTCCTCCTCGCTTCTCCCAGATTTTCTTATCATATCTTTTTCCAAGTTTATAAGTATGAATTCAATAGAAATGAAAGAAACTTAGAGAGTTTTATGCATGACAAATCAGATGACCTATAAAGAAAGCTAAGAATAAACAGATTAAATTTTAAAATAAGTATAAAAGGACACCCTTCTCTTAAAGCAATAGCTTTCCGTCTTTATTTTTAGTAACCTACGTTTTGACTTAACCTAGAACACTTAACTTCCACACAGTTGTGTAAGTGGAAAAAACTATCTAAACAAGCATAGCAGTGTTTGCCCAGAATATATCTGACATATTGTGCTTTTGTTTAAAGGATGTTTATAACCCATTGATTTGATTTCATAAACCCCAATGGTTCTACCCCTAGTTTGGGGGCTGACATAAGAATCTCACTGTGTATTGCTCTGAACTTGCCCTGTTTCTGATCCAGTATAATTAACAGGTTTAACTTATATGTGCCAGGAAAACCTTCTCCTTACTGTTAGATTATTCATTTTAAGTCTCATTTAAAGCCTGTCTACTCCAAGAAGAATTTCTGTCTGTACCTTACCATTTTATTCAGTAGTTAGCATCTGTGTTTCCTGATTGCATTTATAGTTAAGTGCTGAGTTTTCATTTCATGAATATTTACTGCATCCCTGTTTAGACTAATAAGTCCACAGTGGCAAATATCCTATATATATATTTTTTCCCTTGGGACCCTCCCATCCCTTTCAATTCTGAACCCAATTGACATTTAAATCAATCATCACATATGATTTTAAGCACCATGAAAGGTGCTTAGCTGGGTCGTAGCCTTCTCTTATACCTGTTTCTCATCCACCTATGACCTCTACCTTGTTTCCCTGTAGACCCAAGTCTCGTAAAAGGAGAAGAACGTGCCCAGCTCTTCACAAGAAGCTTTGAGAATGGCCTGGGCTTTGAATATGTGATGTTCTATAATGATGCTGAGAAAAGGGTACTTTGCTTTCTTCAAGTAGGTCCTCACCTGCAGGGAGCACCTGGGTAAGTGGGATAGCCTAGCAAAGTGAAACTGAAAGACTTCTATCTGCTAGCACCCTCATGTGTCCAGGGACTACCAAGAAGACATTACGATGGTAGTGTAGATGTAATTTATTGACATAGAAAGATGTTTATAATATATTATAAAAGAAGTGTTACCTATATTGTTAATATTAATTAAAAATTTAATATAATATCAAAGGACTTAGAGAATGTATTATTATAGAGCATAGGGCAATAGAGTATAATTTGGGGGAGTATCATTAACATGTTAGTAATAGCCTGACACTGACTAGATGGTAGTATCGTAGGCCTTATGTTTTTCTTTTTTACAGTAATGGGAATTGAACCCAGTGGAGCTCTACCACTGAACTACATCCCCAAGTTTTTTGTTGTTGTTGTTTTCTTCTTTTCATTTTGATATAGGGTCTTACTATGTTGTCCAGGCTCAGCCTCTTGAGTTGCTGGGTTTACAGGTGTGTACCACTGCACCTGGCAAATTGTTTTTTCTTCTTACTGCAGTTTCTAAAATTTTAAACATCGAATGTGTATAGTTTGTTTAATAGAAGCATAATATAAATTTTTAAAGTATATTTTAGTTTTTTGTATGGTGTGATCCGGTTACTATTAAGTTCCTGTTTTATGTAAGTGCTCAAGACTCTACAGTATTATGCTTTGAATTTGGGGGATATTATTTGACATTCAAAACATTGAATATGGACTAAGTGAACCTCTCCAAAGTAATTGTGTGAAGATGCTTAGATAATTTCTCCCTCTCTGATTCCCAAACTTCTGAGACCATTTTTCTCTCTCTGCCATTGTAACTAGATTTGTTCATGGAGGTGCCATTGCAACCATGATGGACTCCACCACCGGTACGTGTGCATGTAGAGCTGGGGGGATTGCCATGACTGCCAATCTCAACATCAATTTTAAAAGGTAAACTCACAATAATTCTTCTCCTTAGGTGTCAGAGTCAGATGCCCCCACTGCAGATCCTGAGGCAAAGACTCGTGTGCCAGTGGCTGTTAAGGAAGTGCCCCCAGAGGAAACTAGCAAGGGAGAGGCAGAATCAGGACACTGGAGGCAAGGGAGCCAACCAAGGCTCATGTAGCTTCAGCCTGATTGTACAAAGGAGCTCCACTATGAAGTGTATGCCCCAGAATCGACCCCCCCCCCCAGGCAAGGGAACATCAGTCATAGGATGAGGTCTGCTCTGAGACTATAAACTCCCAGGTCTAAGGCTGTTTTAGGAAAGCAGGTACACAGGTGCATACACACTCCCCCCATGTACATTCATACACACACACACACACACACACACACTTCTTTTTTTTCCCCCAAACACAGGATCTCATGTGGTACCCATGGGAAAACACTTTTTGGCAAATTGAAAAAAAAGAATCCAAGGGGGTCTGGGTGGAACACTAACATCCACTACATAATAAAACAGGGGTTTTACATAAATATCACAGATAAATAAAAGGGAAATGACTTTGGTATTTATTTTTTTACTTTTTAGAGAGAGAGAGAGGGAGAATTTTAATATTTTATTTTTTAGTTTTCGGTGGACACAACATCTTTGTTTGTATGTGGTGCTCAGGATCGAACCCGGGCCTCACACATGCCAGGCGAGCGCGCTACCGCTTGAGCCACATCCCCAGCCCTGACTTTGGAATTTATGAAAAACAAACCTGAGCATGATCTTCCATCATGCTGATGTACCCCTACAGTAAATAAACTAGTTATATTGTCATAGAAACAGAAGGCAATAGAGCAGAACAGAATTTAAGAACAGGGAGTTCAATGTACAAGGTCTTCAAGTGAGGTTTTATTACCTCACGTAGCAGGAAACATTTAAGTTACAAAACATCTCCCTTTTATGTATCCCAGAGAGCTGTGTGGCTCATGTGGCTCACGTGGCAGTCTTTTGGGAGCCATGCTTCACAGATTAATGGTTTACTTCCTATAGATAATTCTTAGTTCTCTAGGTAATCCTTCTCACAGGCATATTCTACTAAGGGCATTCTATAAAAAAAGGGCACTTTCTTTTAGAAAATATCATTAGTTTATTTCAGGGGTCAGCAGACTCTCTGTAAATGTTTTATGCTTTGTGGGCTATACAGTCTCTGGCATAAGTACCCAACTCTGCAAGTGTAGCACAAAACAGCTATAGACAATTACTAAATAATTATAGTTGTGTTCCAACAAAACTTTACTGATAAAAACAGACCAACTAGCCAGTGGTCTATGGTGCCAACCTGGGCCTATTTACCTGAAGGTCCAGTGGGAAAAGATTAGACAGGGCCATTTGTTTTCCCTGGAAGTGTATTTCCCGTGTGTGTGTGTGTGTGTGTGTGTGTGTGTGTGTGTGTGTGGTCTCTTTCTCTTTCTCTCTCTCCTCTCTCTCTCTCTCTCTCTCTCTCTCTCACACACACACACACACACACACACACACAGAATCACGGGCCAGCTATTTCAACTTCTTTCTCCCCAGCTGCCAATAATAGTAACTTCAAATTAAAATTAATTAGGGGCTGGGGTTGTGGCTCAGCGGTAGAGCATTCACCTAGCATATGTGAGGCCCTGGGTTCGATCCTCAGCACCACATAAAAATAAATAAAATAAAGGTGTTGTGTCCAGCTGCAACTAAAAAATAAATATTTTTTAAAAATTAAAATTACTTAAATAAGATTGAAAATTATTATGCAAAATAAGTCTAGAAAACGGCATCCTGAGTTGGTGTGGCAGCTCTGTAGTGTCCAGTGATGCAAGCCCCTTCCATCTAACTTTATGGTCCAGAATAGCAACAAGAGCCATCACGTGTCCTGGACAGCAGGATTGAAGAAGAAGAGAAGAAACATCTTCCCTTTTTAAATTTAACTTTATTTTACTGTGGTAAAAACACTTAATATGAGATCTGCCCTCTTAACAAATTTTTAAGTGCACAACACAATATTGTTAACAGTAGGTTCAGTGTTGTTTAGCAGACCTCTAGAACTTATTCATCTTGCATAATGGAAACTTTGTGCTTGTTGATTAGCAATTTTGCATTTCTCCCCAGGAAACCCAACCCTTGGTATCCACAATTCTAGTCTTTGATTCTATGAGTTTGACTTTTTTTTAGGGGAGAGTGTGCTGGGGATTGAACCAGAGCCTCTCAGATGCTAAGCACATGCTCCACCACTGACAACCACAGCCCAACCCTGAGTCTGGCAATTTTAGATGAACTATTGCAGCATTTTGTCCTTCTGTGACTGGGTTATTTCACTTAGCATAATGTCTTCAAGGTTCATCAAGGATGTCTTATATTGTAGGATTTCCTTCTTTAAGGCCAAATAACATATCATTATAGGTATATGACATATTTTCTTTATTCATCTGTGAATAGACATTGTGGTTGTTTCCACATCTTGGCTGTTGTGAATAGTGCTATAGTGAACATTGGGTTGGGGTGCAAATACCTTGTCAAGATCTGGATTTCAGTTGTTTTGTGTAAATACCAGAAATGGGATGCTGGATCATATGGTAGTCGTATGTCTAATTTTTTAAAAATATTTTTTTAGGGCTGGGGATGTGGCTCAAGCGGTAGCGCGCCCGGCCCAGGTTCGATCCTCAGCAGCACATACAAACAAAGATGTTGTGTCAGTGGAAAACTAAAAAATAAATATTAAAATTCTCTTAAAAAAATATATTTTTTAGTTGTAGATGGACACAATATCTTTATTTATTTGTATTTATGTGGTGCTAAGGATCGAACCCAGTGCCTCACACCTGCTAGGCAGGCATTCTACCACTGAGCTACAGCCCTGGCCCTCTATTTCTAATTTTTATAGGAACCTATACTGATTTTTATAATGGCTGTAACATTTCACGGTCTTACCAATGATATTGGTCTCCACCTTCTCACCAACACTTACTGTTTGTGTGTGTGAGATGGTGGGTGCTAAGGGTGGGACTCAGGGCCTCTCACGTGGTATCATTATATGTATATGGCATATTTTCTGACATATTTCACTGCTTTACCTCAGCCCTGTCTTATTTTGGTTTTTCACTTTTTGCCTTTTTGATAATAGCCATCCTAACAAGTGTGAGGTGTTATTTTATTGTAGTTTTGATTGCATTTATTTCCCTGATGATTAGCAACATTAAGCATCTTTTCATATATTGTTGGCCATGTGTATGTCGTCTTTGGGAGAAATGTCTCTTTTAAGTCTTTAGCGTATTTTAAAAATTGGATTATTTAATGTAGTCCAACGTTCTATCTTTGCTTTTGTTGCTGTGCTTTTTTTTTCAGGGGGTGAGGGGGTACCAGGGATTGAACTCAGGGGCACTTGGCCACTGAGCCACATCCCCAGCCCTATTTTATATTTTATTTTAGAGACAGGGTCTCACTGAGTTGCTTAGTGCCCCGCTTTTGCTGAGGCTAGCTTTGAACTCACAATCCTCCTGTCTCAGCCTCCCCAGCTGCAGGGATTACAGGCGCACGCCACCTCGCCCAGCTTTGTTGCCTGTGCTTTTTGATATCATATCCTTGAAGTCATTGCCAAGACCGATATTGTAAAGACTTCACCCCTCTGTTTCTTCTAGGAGTTTTATAATTTCAGGCCTTAAATTTAAATCTTTACCCATTTCAAGTTGATTTATTTGTATGGCATAAGATAAGGTTACACTTTCACTCTTTTACATGTGAATACCTAGTTTTCCATTTGTTCAAAGAGGCATCTTTTGCCCATTGTGTATTATTGGCACCCTAGTCAAGGTTAAATTGTATAGTCAGGCATTTATTTCTAGGATCTTCGTTTTGTTTCATTGGTTCATGTCTATCTTCATGTCAGTAAGGTGCTGTTTTAATTACTGTATCTTTGAAATGTATTTTGAAATCAGAAGCGCATTGCTGCTGAGTGCCGTGGTGCATGCCTCTAATCCCAGCAATTCGGGGGGCAGGAGGATTGCAAGTTTGAGGCTAGCCTCAACAGCTTAGTTAGACCCTGTCTCAAAATAAAATGGACTGGGGATATGGCTTAGTAGTAAAGTTCCCCTGGGTTCAATCCCCAGTACAAAGAAAAAAAAGTGTAATGCCTCTAGCTTACTTCTTTTTAAGATTGTTTCAACTATTTGGAGTTTTTTATGATTCCATATGAATTATAGAATTGCCTTCTCTATTTCTGTAAAAAATGCCATTGTATCATATTTAATTTTTATCATCAGTGCTTCATAGTTTTCAGGGTACAAGGTTTTGCCTCTTAATTTTATTTTTAGGAATTTATTCTTTTGGTGCTAATATAAATAGTTTTCTCAGTTTTATTTTCAGATAGTAATTTTGGTTTATAAAAACACAACTGATGGTTTGTATGTTGATTTTTTTTGTATCCTGCCACTTTACTGAATCCATTTATTCTAACCATTTTTATGTAGGTTTTTTTAATATATATACTGGGGATTGAACTCAGGAGCATTTAACCACTGAGCTACATCCCCAGCCTTTTTAAATTTTTATTCTGAGACAGAGTATTGCTGAGTTGCTTAAGGCCTCTCTAAGTTGCTGAGGCTAGTTTTGAATTTGCAGTCCTCCAGCCTCAGCCTCCTGCCGGGATTCTAGGCATGTACCACTGCACCTGGCTTATATGAAATCTTCAGGGCTTTTCTACACATATCATAAGATCATGTCATCTGCAGACAAAGATGATTCCACTCTTTCCTTTCCAACTTGGATATCTTTTATTTCTTTTTCTTGCCTAATTGCTCTGCCTAGTTTTTCAGGGCTCGATTATCATGGTAAATCATATATTAAAATTAAAATTAAATTTCAGTAATTTTCTCACGTCCTATGTTTTAAAAAATATTTTCCATGTTCAAAAAAGTTGAAGAATGAAATACAATGTTCTCTATCAAAATTCTTAAAAGGTTCACTTGAAAGCAAGTCACAGTAAAGTATT